GGGCGCGGGTGTCACTCAGCAGGGACAATTAGTCTCTAAATGTTTTATCGCTTGAAAGGCAGGGACCGATGGACTGTGCGCACCGGAGCAGGGTGGAGTTGCCGGGCGTAATGGGATGTCAAGTTACTGCTAATTGTGTTTCTGCAGGGACCTGCGGGGAGATGGACGACTGGTTAGCCTGATAAAATACTAATAAGTGGTGATAGAAGCTTTCTGCTTTGCTGGTGCCTCCTGTCTTGTAGGTTTCTGCCATTGAATTTGGGGATTCAGGAAGGGGCTGATGCGTAAATATTGTGTCACTCTACATGTACACACTGCTGTTCAGAGTGATGTAAGAGAAATGGGAATTTGGATTATGTGGCTGCAACATGCAGATGTTCGTTATGTACATAGAGCAATTTGGGTATAAGGGTATCAGTCAGATGAATTGTGATTAATGAGTTGCTAAGCTATTAAGGCATCTCGAATGATTGTATTTTTCTAGAAGGCCATCTAAGTAATCTCCGTCCAAAACTAAGAAACAGCAAGTCTTGTTAGTAATCTAATGAGGAGAATAAGGTGTTGGGGTCCTGATCGTGGTTTAAAAACACCTGCCGTAAAGGTGTAGGGATAACAGAGCTATACTGAACAAGTTTCAGAAAACTAAGGCAAATAAATTTGGATTCGTTATGACCTGCAGTAAGGGATTTGTGGCACAGGAAGGGTTTGTCTCACCAATGAATTACTTGACTACAACAAGGAAACCTGACCTCAGGAGAGCTTGTGGCAGCTGACTTACTGAAAAAAAAAAAAAAGGGATAAAAAAATATTCTTTGAAGTGGCTTAGTAGGCTTAACTTCCTTGACTATCATGCCCACTTGTTTTCAGATGCATGTGATTCTCAGAGCACTAATGCATACTCTATGCTTGTATGGTCCTTGTCTTTAATTGTAAGTCCATGTTTCATATATGTATAAAAGTTGTGTCCTGCAGCACCTTGAAGGTTGATATCTGGGTATATGAAGCTAAATGTAAATATACAAAATTTTTAAAAAAGTAATAATATGAATGAATATGGTAGTTGCATGAGAGGATTTGAATGTAAACAGTACATGTTTTTCTAATTGGACTAATAAAAATAATATCTCTTCCTACCACTTTTGCTATCTTTGGAGTATTTTATGGACTAAGGACCTGGCCCCTTGCTACTCATGCTCAGGCCCACTGAAAATTTACTCAGTGTAATGCAGTAGTCAACTAATCAAACTTGCACAATCACTAATAAATTTTTTTGTAGTCATTAGTAATAGTTGGTCTTTGTTTCCATGGTCATGTTAATTTGGCTTCAAGGTAGTGTAGCTGTCTAAAAAGGGGTAAGTGGGACATCCCTCCAAATCTTGGCCGTTGGTTCCCATCTCTTCCTTGTCCTGGCACTAATGTTCTGTGGGCTGCAAAGACAAGTAGTGAATTGAATTGCCTGAAACTGACGAACAGCAACAAGCTGATCTGGCTTAAAATATGGCTATGCAAATACTCATTCCAACACAAAGGATGATATGAGAATGAATTTTAATAATGTGGTGGAAGCTTAGATTATTCCTTCTGGTGATGTCAAATTAAATGGTCTTTGATATTAGGACACTTGGCTTTTTTATTTTACCTTTGAACAGGAATGTGTGGGGTAGTGATGTTCAACTAGGCATGAGGCTAACAGCTCTTTAGCTCTTCGTATCTGTGAATAAATAAGCAAAACTCCAGCTGTGTTGATTTTTTTAAAAAAAGATAGGGGAGTGGTGTTCAGTCCAGTAGATAGACAAGTAACAAGTTTTGAAAGTGTGTTTTTTAGGGTCTCTGTTATTCCCTATGAACCTTGTAGGAGTGGTTAGATTCCATACTTCAGAAATTTGTATAGTAGCTGTCTTAACAAGATGAAAGCAAATACATTTTGAGCAGAATGCTTATGTCTTCTTCAGGGAAATAGGAGAGTTGGCTAGTTCAGTTTCTGGGCTTATCTTCCCGAATGATTCACGCTTCATGTCTGAATCTACTGTGGTACTTGGCCAGTCCAGTGAGGAGGTCTGCGTACCTGGCTTATGGCATAATCAGATTGTTTTCCTTTTCCTGACTCTTCAGCAATTATTTTTCCTTGATAAACCAGTGTTGTCTTACATGATCGTTACTAACAAGTTTTAAAGACATAAGAATTCAGACAATTTTGTTAAATACCTGAATGGTGTTTCTTCTTCGCTTTTCAGATTCTTTTGATCAAGTCTGTTTTTGAGATTTGAAGCTTTGTCAGAACCTAAGTGTTAATATCTTTCTCTGTGCACAGTCTAGCTAACAAATTTCATCAAACTTTCTCAAGAAGCCATTTTTTTTTGAAGGAGTATGATAATATCTTTCAATGAAGAGCTAGGAGTAGTATGTAAGTTTTTTTTTTTTCCAGTGCTCTTAGAAGTTGTTTATTTACCTTTTTGAAATCAAGAGGTAAAGATTTTGTTACTGAGGTTCAGATATTCCCCACCCAATGGTCTGAGAAGCTAAAGCTGCAAACTTTGTTCTAGCTTGAAATTATATAGAAAAAGCAGGAACTTAGCTACTTGTTTTATGCTGGAAGGGCAGGCTTGTATTTACATTGCAGAAAAAGCTTAAAGTATTGCATTGAATGAGCCCTTTTGTCTTCCCTATGAGCCTAGAATTATGAATAGGCGTACACTGCAGGCAAAATATCAGTCTAATAAATTGTTCTTAAGCTATGGCAGTTAAACAAAATTACAGACCTTGTCCCTACTGTTCATTAGTCCTGTTGAACAGGTGTGTGGAAGTTAAATTCTTAAAACTTAACAACCTTTCTTTTATGGGAAATAAGCATTCTATTGTGCAAGGCGGTTTTCGTGAGTAGTTCAAAACTGTTTTTAAATTTTATAAAGAGGGACAATAATATGTAGTAAAGCAGTATCTTTAAACAAATGTGGTATCACTGAGGTACCTGTCGGTAACTGTCACGTTCATGGTATTTGGTCATTCTGCCTTTCATTAGCCTTTCTCAATTGCCTTGAATAATCTGGAATATTTATTAACATGTGCTCTCTTGTGGAATGCTCTAATTTTAGTTATGTGACTATGTTTAAATCTATATGAGTTCAGGGGAAGCTTCTCAACATGCAGCAATTTGCCTTGAAAATAGGAAAATAAAGGTCCAGTGATTCTGAGAGAAGATGCAGTTTTTAAAGGTAGTTTTAAAATTAATGCTTTTACCTTTAGGTCTTGGCAGGAGGACATGCAAATCTGGAAGCTTTTGTTGTGCTTCCCTCTTCTCCCCCAGGTTGTTTCCAGAAATCTAACCTCGGTGTTGATAAGTCTAATAATGAGAGTTCTAACGTTCAGCACTTTTTTAGTGCCACTGCTTGATTCTTTTGGAGTTGATTTCTGAGTAACTGAAGACTAGTTTAAAAACAGCTTTGATGTTTTGTTAAATAAACCTGCAAGAACATCTACTTTTTGTGTAGCAGATGCTTCCAAGTATTATGTAAATTTATCTATTACATACTGTCTTCATTTAGTTCAGGAGATTAAAAAAATGCTAAATTTCTTGTCATATGAACACTGAAATGCCTGTCCTCTGACAGATTTTTGTGCTGCAAACCCACTGCCAAAGTATTTTGTATAAACTCTGACTTGTAACTGCCTTGTTATATCTTCCTAGGCTTTGCAGATCAGGTATGACAGAGGAAGTATATCACCTAATTCATATAAATAAAATTTTCATATATTTTAGTAATATTTTTCTGAGCTCTTGATTGAAAAAAGTATTTTTGTACACTTTACAAAGTTAATATTGTTTGAAAGTTTAGTTTACAAAAGGTGCAATTACCAGTTTTCAGGTTGGACTATTAAAATAGTTCACATAATTCCTGTATAATGCTGGAGGTTTGTATTATAGGTCCCTTATTACACAGGGGTGCTTTTGGCTGGTAATTTTTAGTGCAAGTTGGAGTGAATAAATATCAGATTTAGTTTCTGTTACATCAGTTGTTGTTCGTATGATCATTTCCAGAGCATTTTTACAATTTAACTGTAGTATATTTGAACTATATTTACTAGAGTCTTGCAGTAAGGAGTGTCTTGGGAATTTATTAAGACTTGAACTGAGTGCTACTTTGTTTTCCTGAGGACACCTTTCAGGAATTTCTTAGCAGCCTGATATGTGAATCCTCTGTCTCAAACAATGAATCTCTAAAAAAATACAAATGGTGCTTAAATAGTTTGAATCCTTCTTGATTTTTTTTTTTCTTCCCTCTTTTAAAGGTGCATTTGAACTTCTTACTGTTTCTCCATCGACTAGCAGAAGAAGCCAGGACAAATGCTTTTGAGAACAAAAGTAAAATAATTAAACCTGAGCACACTATAGCTGCAGCAAAGGTAATAATGCATTTTTAAGATTTTTTTTTTGTTTAATGTGAAATGTATTATGACAGCGTATACAAAAGTTTTCTGTGTTAGTGTTAATATATTTTTATTTATAATCCAAAACCTGCAGAAATGTAATGTTCTTTTATCCATCGTTGGCATAATTCACTGTCACCAAGACATCAAAGTAACTCTTCTTGCCCTATTAAATATAGCTCTATTTTTACTTGATTATTCTGCGTTTAAATTCATAGTTTCAATATGTGGGTAAGTCTACACAGTAGTCTACCAGCAAGCGTCGATGGGCTGAAAGCCCAGGGAACAGGAGCAAATTCCAAAGTTGGAGGATCTTTATTTCAGATGATACTACATCAAGGAAGCATGCAGTCTTAGCTTCAGTAACATAAATGAAGCTTTATGGAACAAGTGAGTAAAAGTTCAAAGAGGTTCAAATATCTTACTTATACCTCCAGTTCTTACCTGCTTAGTCTGAAGGGTGTTTTAAGTGGATCCTTGCAGCGTTGTGTGGATACTACTTGAACAAACACATACTTTGTGTGACATTGTTGGCAAGAGAAAGACTAAGGGACGATTAAACTGTGGGTTGCTGTATGGGTAGGTCAGCGTAATAAATTACTATCTGAATATCTGTGAAGGAGGAATCCTCTGCATTACAGAGCATAATAAGTTTTGTGCAAAAGAAGGGGAAGAGGAAGGTGTTATGCAGCTTTCTCTCTCTAGAAAGAATCGGAGTGGTGTCAAAGTATGACTGAAATCTTTTTGTATTCTCTAGCTCATTTCACTCGCTAGGGTATGTCTACTTTACCTAGGTTTCATGAAGAAACAATCTCTTTAATTTGTTATCTGTTCCACCACCCACCTACTGCTGCTGGGGAAACTGGAAGAACAAAACTCAACGTTATCTGATATTTGCGTCTTGTGGCTTCTGTTTATCTTTAATATTTTTTTTCCCTCTGGTGAAATGTTTAGTTTGATACTTTCTATTACTATAGTAACAGAAATATATACAGGATGTGTAGGGTAGCCAAGTTAATGTTACAGTTGGAAACTTATACATTTGTAATTTCTTTTTAACTGCAATCTTAACATTATTTGAACATTTTTGTGCTCCATTTATTTTTTTTAAGACGAGAAGAAAGGAAAAACTGCCTGTATTTTAATAATGTTAACACTTAAATGGTCCCACTTGGGCTTTGAAGTTCATTTTTCAACTTAAACTCCAAACCAAAAAATGTCCTTCCAAGGGTCTGGGCACTCTCTATATAGAAAGAAATAAGGCATTACAAACAAAATTGAGCATAGTAGCTTTATAATTGCAAATCTTTTTTTTTTTTTTTTTTTTTGGGCTTGAGAGAGCTATTGCTGTTTTTCAGTGTTCATTTTTAAAATAAGCCCTTTATTTTACAAAATTCTTAGTTTTGAATGTTCTTATTTAAAAAAAAATACTTTCAGATATGATGTATTTCTGTATGCATTTGCTTTATTTCTAACCTCTTCCCTAGACTTTTACCCTTGGTGACTCTACTCCTGGGAACAGATTGTTTGGCTAGGTGAATCTTTGGTCTGAGTAGCCTAGCATTTTGGATCTCTTACTACTACCCAGACTGTAGTGATAAAAACAGTGATAAATATGCTTTTTTCTTTTTGCAGGTTATTTTAAAGAAAAGCAGAGGCTAGAAAACAGACCAGTGGAATTTCAAAACACATTTTTCTGTGTTTTCTTACTATTCTGAGATCCTGTGAGCCACCTTTTGCACTTGTGGAAGTACTTAGCTTTACTGATGTCAATCTCCTGACTATGAGTATCTTGCTTTTTCTTAAACAAACAAAAAAAGAATCTTACAAGGTATATTTTAATACACTTCATGCATAATTTTAAAATAAGTGTCACTTGTCATTTAAGACTTTTGATGTACCTTATTTCTTCCATAACAATGGAGGAATGCCTGTACCATAGTCACTCTTCAGGTATGATATGTCATTTATTAGTAGATGTATGGAACTTTTAAAGGCGAACAGTAATAAAAATGCAGGTTTCTCAGATAGAAAGAAAGAAAGTTTCACTAAATCCGTTATAGATTATGCAGTTCAACACAGATTTACTAGCTAAACAAAATCTTGGCTTTCAAAACAATCACTGTAGAAGCTAGTGTATTAAATATCTTGCTTCAATTTATTTGTAAATGACTTAATCTTTTTAAATGACTTTGAAAAGTAGGCTAAAACTTCTGTGTTCTAGGGAAACCATATGTATTTTTTTATTTCTAAATTGTGCTCTGAACTGTTAAGCTGGCCTACTGTTTGGTGTGGTATATGAGACAAGTTGGTGGTCTCTAATTCAGTTGGTGTGGACAGATGCATATTATGGAAAAGATCTGGCACAGCTGATGTTTTTCAGGTTAGATCCTGTACTAATAGTGAAGATAAGTTGGCATGAGTGCCAAGCTACTTTCTCCCTGGTTTTGAGTGTCATCCTAACTTGCCAGAAGTCTGGAAATGTACATTATGTAAAAATATATTTTTAAATTAAAATGCTGTTCTATTCCTAATCTGGTATTTTTAAACAATTGGTGAACACTTTGCTTATAAAACTTTTAATAAAGATATAGTTGAATCTTACAGTTTGAGCTGACAATACAATTTTGTGGAATATGTGGTAGCTGATCCTTCACATGCACAGTGAACTATTCTTAAAATAAAGAATTTTTTTAAAACATTATGTATTGAGTGTTCTAATTTTGTTTGACATGTTACTGAGTATTTTCCAGAAACTCAGCAAAAAAGAATTGCTTTTTATGAATATTTTTGTAGTCTAAAGAAACCAGAGCAATGTGAGAACTTCAAATTTCATATCTTGTCCATGTACTTTTTAAAATCCGGTACAACCTGTGAAAAGTCCATCCTTTTACAGTATGCAGAAATGAATGATGACTCTTCTGCTTTACTTAACTTGTAGGGCTTAGTTTGGTCTGCTTCTTATAAGGTTGACTAGATGCCTTATTCTGCATTTGCTTTTCTTACTCCCTTGAAATCCACAAAGAAAGCTGAAAACATACATGTGTAGAGGGTATTTGGACTTCATAATCTGAAGTACGTTCTCAGGAATAAGGGAGATCTGACCTAGGTATTTGTATTTTTCTGTGTAATTACTGTCCATGATTTAACAATTTTATTGCAACACTAGATTTTCCTTTCTTAGAAGCGTTTTCTCTAATTTTTGTCTGAACTACTTTCTTATAGTCTTGTATAACCATGTACTTTTCCTCATTGTACAGTTGTTTGAGTGCTGTTACTTCTTTTGGAACTTGTTTTGATGTCGCTTTAACTTTTCTTTTTTTATTTGCCTAGGAGCAAGATCCATTATGAGCTTAGTGGAATGTTCTCATTCTCATGTAGTAGATGGATAATCAGCTACCACTGGGGAAGAGAGGCAAGGAAGTGTTAAGACCAGCCACCAGTGTACTTGTTAAATATTTTATACAGTGTTTTTTGCCTGTATTCATGATGATTTGAAGATCCAGTAGGAAAAACCTAACAGTACAATGACCCCGGGCACACGGGGGATTTCTCCTCCAAACATGCGCGCCAGACACCCTGTTGCTTCAGGGTGCTTTCATGTTGCTTCACACATGTAAATATTCATTATATTTCTAGGAACTAATTAGCATATGTAAATATCTTTCACGCATGTATATTAGTATCTTTGGGTGGTCTTTGGGGGTCCCAAGATGAAGGCCCATCCTCTTCATCACGCTGTTCACTGATAGACATTTGTTTCTGCGCAAACTCAGTTCTAGGATCACGTATATCATGTCCTTCAGGTTGTTTGGCTCTGGTCTTGTTGCTCTCTGTTTCTTACAATCCCCTCTATCAATGATTAAGAAGGTGCCTTTTTTTTTATAGGAGAGAGGCTTTTTTCCTATAAGCCCTGAGAAGTTTGAGTTGGAATGTGTCCTGTCACTAGATTGCCAGTACTTTGTGAAAGTTTCGTACTAGTTGAAGCAGGCAGGTATTCAGAAGAACTGAGTAAATTGGCAGGTATTCAGGTTTCTCTCTTAAACTTTAAATAAATGCTTACTAAAAATTAATGTGGTTGATGTAGTGTGGTATTCAGAAATATACAGTGCTATTATTTTTTCTAGTATCTTCTTGATTGTTCACCATAATATCAATTATATTCATATTTGGCAGCTCTTCATAGGGTCTCTTCTCCACCCAGTTCTCCTTACTGGATTTTTAAAATCAAAACTCCTTATAGTAGTGTTGTCTAAATACCCATGAACACTTCCAATTAATATAAACTTGGAGGATATACTAATAATGTATTTTCTATTATTGAATCTGTACTTAATGACAAAATATCAAAGCACGTAGTTCTAGAGAATGTCTTTCTAAACTAGATCTGTGGTAGAATGCCTAAAGAACTTGAGTTCTGTTATTTGGATTCTTGTGTTGATTCTCTGCCGTTAGGAAGAAAAAAGGAAGGATTATTGAGGGAAGAGTCATGTTGATCTATTAATAAGTTGTCACTTCTACTAAACTGTTTTCCTGAAACCTTGACAAATTTAGTGTTCAGAAACCATTGAGACTATTGACTCACTATTGAATTTCCTCTGGTTTTAAAGGTAAAATTCAAGAGGTTTTGGGAAGGAGAGGAGCTCAGACGATACAATTATGACTCGTCATTTCCTCAGGAAAGCAGGGTAGAAGACCTGAAAAATTAAAGACCCACTAAGACATTATTCAGTTTTGCAATTCTCTTTGTTCTCTTTGCAGCTTTCCCAGTGTTCTGTTTCACGTCCTAATCCGCCCTTTCACTATCATCATCAATGAAAGATGGAAAAGTCAAAATGAAGAAATAGAGGAATTTGACATAAGTACTTCTGGTGGCTCTTGTCTTGGTTTTCAGCTTTTCATGTAGCTAATGTTAGTTGCTGGGCCAGGGAGTGGTATCACAAGTGATTAAGGCACAAAAGAAGCAGTAAAATGTTTATTGATAAGCAGGTGGTTATGAGGGAAGGGAGTATTTTCCCTGGTGGGGTAGTGCTGTGGCTGGCTTTGTTTCATCTCATGTATGAAGTGGCTGATGAAAGGGGATCTTCTGTTTGCCAGCTTGAGTAAGTCTTCTCATGAGGAGTATGCGCTGTTTAGCTCTCATGTTCACATAATTTTGCTTGCAAGATAAGTGAAGAGAGAAGAAAGTTGTGAAAGCTTTAAAACCAGATCCATGCATACTTTTAATTTGTAGGGCTTGGAAGATTTTCTGAGTGGAATAAATCACATGATTAATAGGTTTAAAACCATTTTTGAAAAGTGAATATTGAGAATGGTATATCAGTGAAGGTTAGATCTGTGGAGTCAACAGGAATATATGAACTTGTATGCTTTTGTGGGTCGGGGCCCAGATGATAGCTGTTCTGTTTGAATATAAAGTTGTGTTGGATTAGGAAGATCGCTGTTTTAATTCAGAAAATCAACACAGGTGCTAGAGAGGACATTTATGCCTTGGAGTTTCATTGTGCTTGTATGTGGAGGAGTGCATGGTTGCTAAAAAAGACTCTTAAGTTGCATAATACAAACTGCCACTCCGCTCTGGTGAGACCTCACCTGCGTCCAGCCGTGCAGCCCTCAGCAGAGGACAGACATGGACCTGTTGGAGCAGGTCCAGAGGAGGACAACAAAGATGATCGGAGGGCTGGAACACCTGTCCTGTGAGGAAAGGCTGAAAGAGTTGGGGCTTTTCAGGCTGGAGAAGAGAAGGCTCTTGGGAGACCTTATTATGGCTTTCCAGTACCTGAAGGGGGCTTATAAGAAAGATGGGGACAAACTTTTTAGCAGGCCCTGTTGTGATAGGACAAGGGGTAATGATTTGAAACTGAGAGAGGGTAAATTTAGACTAGATATAAGGAAGAAATTCTGTACAGTGAGGGTGTGAGGCACTGGAACAGGTTGCCCAGCGAGGTGGTGGATGCCCCATCCCTGGAAACATTCAAGGTCAGGTTGGATGGGGCTTTGAGCAACCTGATCTAGTGGAAGATGTCCCTGTTCATTGTAGAGAGGATTGGTCTAGATGACCTCTAAAGGTCCCTTCCAATCCAAAACATTCTGTGATTCTATGAAAACAGAAGTACTAAATATTCTCTGGCTGTAATGATACAGTAAAGGAAAAAAATTCAGAAATATTTATGCTGTAATAGGAAAATTCTTTTTTTAGCCATAAGGTGGGGATAGAGCAAAAACTGTCTTTTTCTTCCCTGCAGTAACCTCTTGTTAGAGAAAATTCTCTGTTTATTACTACTAAAAAGTATACTATAGATTGTGACAATTCCAGATGTTTTTTTAAGGCTACTAAGCCTGCACTTCTGACATATGTAACACAATTTATTTTTTAAAGCAATTCCTATCCACATGAAAAAGGGGTGTTATGCTGATCCATACCGAGAGGGTAAAAGTTAGATATTTGAGGCTTTGATGGATCTTGAAGATTTTTCTTTCTTGAAAGATCAATGTTTCAGCATCAGATAGTTTTGTTAGTTATAGGTCTATAGTTATTTGTACAACATAACTTCTGCTTTAGAAACTGGTGTGTTCTATGGGCAACGTTATGCAGGAGATTTTTGTACAGGACATTGCTTGTACAGCAACCTTAACTATAAAACATATAGCTAGTGTTGGCT